ATGAATGAATGACTTCCCGTTTGGATCACATCATTGGACAATAAGAGATACCTTCTGTCCGCCGAAACGCTAAACTTTTTGATACTAATGTTATTCGTTCGCTAAATGCCATAGAGATATAGATTAGAAATAATTAATAGTATGTTTTTAATTAATGAGTTTAATGTATAATATAGATAAATATTTCATTTATATACCAAATTAATGCCCTCGACTAATACGCTCTTATATTTGGTGTCGATATTATAGATAATGAATGAGTCGTTGTTATCGATAAATAATATCTCTCGCTCTGAAATCCACGTCCCGTTATATCCTTTTCTCTTATAGCCTTTGGCCAGAAAATCATCCAATTTTAGTCTTTCCGTTTCATTGATCCCAAAATCTTAATTCATATACAAATTTAAATTAACATTTGTATGAATAAAATAAAAGTGGATATTATTAAGTTTTGATATCATCTAGAATCTGTAAGAATTATTAAATTATTATTAGATGTCTTAACTAGTATTTAAATGTAAAAATAAGTGAATCAATTCGAGAGACAATCAAAAACTATGCTATAATTGAAATGCCAGACATTAAGCTCATAATATATTGAAAGCTAATCTCTTAATGTCATCCTATTTTCTGACAACAGAATCCTCATTAGACGTGACATTTGTGTCTCTCTTTCATACGATTACAGTATAGATAAACAAGAATTTGATTTAATAATAACGAGAGCTTTAATGGGCAGTGAAAATAAAGTGTTTCACTCATTACCGCCTCTCGTAAAGTCACAAATCGATTATTTGAATGCCTTTTTCATAATTTATTCAACCATAAGATTAATAGCAGTTATACAACAAAATAAAGTAAAAAGCAATATATTGTGCAATAATAGGTGTGTTTAAAAAATATAATACAATTAAAATGTATACAAGACTTACGCGGACTTAATATGAATATTGATAAAAGTATTAGCGAACAAATGCTAACGATTACCTGAAAAATTATTGCAAAACATTTTTTAGTACATTTATGAATAATGTAAACTTGTTTCAAAAATAATGATAAATATTTCATACCAATAGCGAGATGAGTATTCCCTTCCAATTCCTTTGCTCGATCTCATTCACAACCAATTCCTTCAATGATAATCATATTTAAACATATTTTAAAA